CTTTCTAGCTCTTTCTGCTTGTGTTCGTACTCATCTTTTTCTGCCATCTGGTTTCGGTCCAGCCAGCTGATCACCTCCTGACACTTGTCGAGGATCTTGTTTTTGTCCTGCTCGCTAATCTTGCCCCTCAGTTTCTCGTCTTCCACCGTCTGCTTGATGTTGTAGGTGTAGGATTCTACCGCGTTTTTGGCCGCCACCCGGTCGCGATTAGCCTCATCTTCCGACTTGTACCGCTCCGCCTCCTGCACCATCCGATCGATGTCGTCCTTGCTCAGACGACCCTTGTCGTTGGTGATGGTAATTTTGTTTTCCTTACCGGTGCTCTTGTCAGCGGCGGTGACGTTTAGGATGCCATTGGCGTCGATGTCGAAGGTGACTTCTATCTGAGGGACCCCGCGGGGCGCTGGGGGAATCCCGGTCAGGTCGAACTTGCCCAGCAGGTTATTGTCCTTGGTCATGGCCCGTTCGCCCTCGTACACCTGCACTAGCACGCTGCTCTGGTTATCCGAGTAAGTGGTGAAGGTCTGCGTCTGCTTGGTGGGGATTGTAGTGTTCCTCTTGATGAGTGGGGTCATGACGCCGCCAGCGGTCTCGATGCCCAGCGACAACGGGGTCACGTCGAGCAGCAGCAGGTCCTGCACATTCTCCGACTTGTCCCCGATGAGGATGGCCGCCTGCACGGCTGCACCGTAGGCCACTGCCTCGTCGGGGTTAATGCTCTTGTTCAGCTCCTTGCCGTTGAAGAAATCCTGCAGCAGCTTCTGGATTTTGGGGATGCGGGTAGAGCCGCCCACCAGCACGATCTCCTGGATCTGGCCCTTGTCCAGCTTGGCGTCGCGCAGCGCCTTCTCCACCGGCTCGAGGGTCCCGCGGAAGAGGTCGGCGTTGAGCTCCTCGAAGCGGGCGCGGGTGATGGACGTGTAGAAGTCCACCCCCTCGTACAGCGAGTCGATCTCGATGCTCGCCTGGGTGGAAGAGCTCAGGGTGCGCTTGGCGCGCTCGCAAGCGGTGCGCAGCCGCCGCACCGCCCGCTTGTTGGGCGCGATGTCCTTCTTGTGCTTGCGTTTGAACTCCTCCGCCAGGTGGCTCACCATGCGGTTATCAAAGTCCTCGCCGCCCAGGTGGGTGTCGCCGGCCGTGGACTTCACCTCGAAGATGCCGTCCTCGATGGTCAGGATGGACACGTCGAAGGTGCCGCCGCCCAAGTCAAAGATGAGCACGTTCTTCTCGCCGCCCGCGCACCCCTTCTTGTCCAGGCCGTAGGCGATGGCTGCCGCGGTGGGTTCGTTGATAATGCGCAGCACGTTGAGGCCGGTGATGGTGCCCGCGTCCTTGGTAGCCTGGCGCTGCGAGTCGTTGAAATAAGCCGGGACCGTGATGACCGCGCTCTGCACCTTGCCTCCCAGGTAGGCTTCGGCGATCTCCTTCATCTTAGTGAGGACCATGGAGGAGATCTCCTCGGGGAAGAAAGTCTTGATCTCCCCCTTGTACTCCACCTGCACCTTGGGCTTGCCCCCCTCGCTCACCACCCGGAACGGCCAGTGTTTCATGTCCGACTGCACCGTGGCGTCCTCGAACTTCCGTCCGATCAGCCTCTTGGCGTCGAAGATGGTGTTCGTGGGGTTCATGGCCACCTGGTTCTTGGCGGCGTCGCCGATGAGGCGCTCGGTGTCGGTGAAGGCCACGTAGCTGGGGGTGGTGCGGTTGCCCTGGTCGTTGGCGATGATCTCCACCTTGCCATGTTGGAAGACCCCCACGCACGAGTAGGTGGTGCCCAGGTCGATGCCGATAGCCGGGCCGCGGGCAGACATCCTGACTGAAAGACAGGCAAGCGACGTTAAGGGGCGAAAATGGATGAGAAGAAACCAGCGGCGTCAACTAACGGTCGCCTCGCAGCACACACCGCGAACGCAACCCGCGACTCCCGGTTCCCCCCCGCCCTCGGTCCCCAGCTCTTATAGCCGCCTCCCCGCCGCTTTCTGGAAACTCCCAGAGCCAATCCGCTCCCGTGACCGCCCACACAAACTCTTCCAGCCCTGCCACAGGCTTACCTGGGTCGGAGTGACCGACCAGTGGCCCAACAGATTTCAAGTTGGGCGAGAGGCGGGACCTCAGCCCGAGCGAGGAGACCGAGGGGTGGCCGTTATGCAAATGAGGCTCCTCCCAGACTCCCCGCGGCTGGGCAGTGGCGCTTAGTCCACCCGCAGCAGCTGGAAAGCGTTAGTCTCGCGCCCCCGGAACCAGGTGTACGCGCTTTTTGCGCTCTTTGCCTTTCGTGAGGCGGGATTCGTTGACGTCCGTCAGATTGGCAGATCTTCCTGCCAATGAGAAGCACAAGCTCCCTAGCGGGGTGGGGAAGGACAGCTTGGGCGTGGCGCGGGGAGGGGCAAGGACCCGGATCTACCTCGCCATTTGCGCGGTTCCTACAGGTTACGTGCGCTTCGGTGCCGGGTGATCCCACTAAACACGTAGCATACTGTGAAGGGGCAGGACCTTCTGAGTTGGCTGCACCGAGGAATGGCTAGAACCACCGGTTGGCTAGGACCGGCAATTTTCTCCGCTGACCTGTCCAAGCCCTGGGGTCGGGGCATTGGCATGGACAGGGCGTGAGGGCGACTCCCGGGGCGGGGACGGAAAGAAAGAGAGGTGAAGTTCCTAGGACGCGCGGTCGGCCTCCTGCCAGTTTACCTGGCGTGCTCCGCAGCGTCGCGAGGACTCGGCGCTCTATGGAACCTGCCCGGGG